CGAGTCCGTACGATCCCCGCTATCAAATACTTGAGAAACTTTAAAAAGACGCATTTTGAGCGAATCCACATTTTAGCGAGATGGCATCGCCTCCTACGTCTTCTAGTGATGTCATACTCGACACCAGTGTAACCTGGAAAGACATCGAGGAAAGAATTCAGCACGATCTCGACACAAAGGCGATTTTGGGACCAAAACGAACAGTTCAGCTGATTGGAGAAGGAAATGTGGGTTTGTTTGAATAAATTTGGACCTATTCCAATTAGGGGGGGGGCATCATAATGCAGTTTTCCAGAAAGCTAGGGTAACTCCGAGCCAGGGGGAGTGTAGCCAGTCTAGGGGGTGGGGGTGAGGGCAGTCACTTGACATGCGTGAAAAGCTGGAATGTTCGAGTTCACACTAGTTCGCCGAGAAACTGCATCATGATGCCCCCCCCCTAACTGGAATAGACCCTAAATTTGGTTTCAACACTCAGTAGAGCTAATAAAAGCGGAAGTCATCATGAGGTTCATTTTCTGTTTTTCGACAGCAAACATTAATGGATTTTAGCGAAAGGCTCGTTCTACATAAGCAAAATGTGAAATGGCATAATTACCCATTGATTTGATACACACGGTCAGGTTTGTCACAGCCGTAAAATCAGCAATACATGTCGCAAATCATCAAAAAGTGGTACCCGACAGGAGGCCCGTCGCGCGGCAAGAAGGCAGAGTCGCGGACGAGTCGCAGCGCGTGCTGTGCGATGTAGGACGTGCAATGGTACATTCTATTTAACTTGACGCGAAATCGCTGCGACTCGTCCGCTGCTCTGCTATCTTGTTGCGCGGCGTGACGGGCCTCCTGTTGGGTACCCATCAAAAAGCCCACGTGAAATCGATTTTTTGAGTTTTTCGCAACGCGTGCCGCTGAGTCTGCAATTGCGGCATTCCCAACATGTGGGCAACAGAATATGTATTTTTCAATTCGTCCCATTCCAGGGATTCATGTCTCGTGTCGTCATTATGGACACTGATTTGCAAGGAGATGTCGGCGATTTACCACCCAGGTTCGAGCCTTCTTTTATGCGCATTCTTTACTAAAGTAATAGATTAGTGTTTGTGATCCGTTGAGTACACGCCACGCTCTCGTATTTTGCAAGTTTCGGAACCCAGAACTGATAGAATATAACGCAGTGGTTAAAGGCAGGGTTCCGGACTCACCTAAGCCTCATTGAGGAATCGCCTTCTGTGGATAGAGATGTTACATCTGCAGTGGTTCCGCTACTTCCGCGCCTCTAAACGAGTCACTAACAATAAGATCCTAGGCGCTTAAGACTTGGATCATCCTCCCCTCCCCCAGGCGGATCAGTATCCGCCCATTGTTCTTGGCTGTGTCAAGGTGTTGATCTGCTGTGCTGTCTCGCATTCTTTTCCCTCTCCGCGACCCACATTATCTCTTGTCTCGCTGTCTGCTTCTTATGGGTCTAAGTTCTCGACTCCTCCGCAGCTTAGAGCAAAGAGGTTTATACTTTGTGTGTTTTTGACGAGTTCTTTCCCTCTTTTCTCAACTTTGGTTTATTTCGCATTCCTGCTTTCATATTTGAGAGGAATTACCACATCAATTTGATCGTGGGCTTTACCTTCAAGAACTCTTAGGCAGTAGGCGATAAATCTGTAGGCATTGCATGACCTTCACACGTGCTTAGTTGCAGAAGCATTTGAGGTGGTTTGCTGGTACCCTCGCCTTCAAATG